TGGTCAAATTGGTCTTTATACTATAATATATGAGTAGTTTTTCTTTTAAGAAAATGATACGGTTAGATAGTTACGTGCTTATAATGAAATAGAATATATGCTGCGGCAGTGACGTCGATCTGACATCGATCATTGATCCGGCGTCGATCATCGACCCGACGTCGATCATCGACCAGTACTTTGGGGGGGCCGCCCTGATATAATCTTCAACTAGTCTTGACTCAGATTTTTTAGTAACCAGACCAGAATGAATTAGATACACTACTTAATATCCCTAATAGTAAAATTAAAACCCAATTTAATAAAGATAATTAAAAAAAAAAATAACTATTTATTTATTTAGGACGATTTTAATACTCACCAGAGATGAAATTCACCGGGGGTTCTATACTTCAAAAACGTACTAAGTAAACGGAATCGGGTATTCTAAGTTAAACTGTTCAAGACCATCGAAAACCTCACGAGATCTAAAATCGGAACCTTATATCAAATCTATATTATGTTATATAAAACTCCTTTATTTTAAAACTGCATCCTAACTGTCACGGAGTTTACCAACACTCTGTGTACTTCTTTGACTTTTCAATCAGTCTTTAACTCGTTTGGCTAATATATGATGACTAGAGTATCGTACCAGATACTAATACCGATAATGTATTCACACAGATAAACAGTTTATTCACTTGGAATAATTCAAAGAGATATCGAGAACCAAAGTTTATTCACTAAGAATAAGAGTTAGGCATTTCCCTTATTTAGATCGATGCTTTATATATTTAATACTAATCGCTAATGATTACTATATATATACATTGTTTATGCATCAATATTTAGACTTTAATTAAATCGTCATCCCGATCGCTGAGATTCAATCAACACGTACCCGAACTAGTCACATTGGTATCGTGTAGCACCGCGACATGAGCTAGAGCCCAGTAACTTCATCCCCGAAGTTACAAAATTCATATTCATCCCACCAAATTTCCTCATTTCAAACCGATTATTCTCTGAACTATACCCGGCCATTTGATCCAAATACAATCGTTTGAGAAATTCAATCTTTTCACCATTACACGGCGCAGTATAACTCCAATTTACCTTTCGATCCACAATCGATGTAACATTTGATTAATCGATGTTCTGAATTTAGTAGCCATGTAGGCTCCCTAGTCCGATTACTCACAAACATATGCTTTTTCATCCGTTGCTTCATAAGAGAAACACGGCAGTCATTATCCAATATTAATTTTAGTTCTACAATCTGAGCTAGATCCTCTGGATTCAATGACCTTTTCATCATGAATGTCATTTTTGTACATCTTGATCACATCATTCTCATTGTTCCACTATTAATGTTACATTTAGTTTTCGTCAACGATCCTAGCAAATTCTTCATTGCATCCATTTTCATAACTTCATCAATTGATGCTTCCATCACTACTATCGCTTTTTCAACAAGTCCCATTTCTTGATTATTAACGAAGGCCTTGCTATACTCCGAAGATGTTTGATAATTAATGAATGTTTTGTGTTCATTTTTTTCAACATTAGCTTCAACAGCTTTTGATTCAATCGATTTATCTATAGGTAAATTCTTGAAATTCAAACCTTTCGCTTGATCTGTCACCTTTTTACTCATCATACTAACGATCCCCTCCTTCTTTTTATCATAATCATTTTTCATCAATTCATGTTTAACACACCTAACATCCACAAATTCATTTTTCTCTTCGAGCATCATTCTTCACCATACTGCTTTTTCCCATCGCATATTCGTCTAAGACGTTTTCATCGGAGATGATTTTTTATGACCTGATTTGATAGTATAATAACATTGATTATAAAATACTATATTAAACAATTTAAACTATTCGATTGTTATTAAGAGTGTATAATTTCGCGGACATGGATGTCCGTGAAGTCATGTGACTTCACTTCCACGAAATTATATATCTCACTAGTAAAAAATAAAAAATTTAATGTCAAATTGCACTATTCAAATGCTATTTGACATGGCATTTAATAATTTATTATATAATTTTGCGGACATAGATATCCGTGAAGTCACGTGACTTCACGGGCATCCATGTCCATGAAATTATATGATAAGTTGAATAGTGCATTAAATAACATGTTGAATAGCACTATTTGAATGCTATTTAACATGCTATTTAATGCACTATTCAACTTACTATATAATTTCACGGACATGAATGTCCGTGAAGTCATGCGACTTCACAGATATTCATGTTTGCAAAATTATAGCTTCAGCCCGAACTCAAACTTTAAATTTTACTAATTTCAAACTTCAAACCGAACTCAAACTTATTATATCAAGCCAAACCAAACTCAAACTGAGTTCGGTTTGAAGTTTGCAAACATGTTTGAGTCCAAATAATATAAAATACAAATTAAACTATTCGATTGTTATTAAGAGTATATAATTTCGCGGACATGGATGTCCGCGAAGTCATGTGACTTCACTTCCACAAAATTATATAATACATCTCACTAGTAAAAAAATAAAAAATTTAATGTCAAATTGCACTATTCAAATGCTATTTGACATGACATTTAATAATTTATTATATAATTTTGCGGACATAGATGTCCGTGAAGTCATGTGACTTCACGGGCATCCATGTCTGCGAAATTATAAAAAAATTTGACATGTTGAATAGAACGCACTATTCAGCTTATTATATAATTTCGCGGACATGAATGTCCGCGAATTCATGTGTCTTCACAGATATTCATGTTCGCGAAATTATATGGGTTGCCATCAATAGAAATAGCATATGATTTAAACTTTCTTTTGAGTATTCATTGAGATATAAATCTAAAATATTTTATTCTGAATACACATTGCCCCAACAAAAAAATATCACGGCAATATGG